AAACTCCTCTGTCTTTAAAAATATAACACATGCTACTTATGATCATCTATAATAAAGATATTATAAAGAAAATTAAATAACCTGTGATTCATGTTTGTGATTACTGGTAACGTTTCACTGGGTTCGGATGCTCTTTCTGTTCTGTAATGTGTTGTGTTTGTGCACCCAGAGCCTGTGCGTGTTCATTTGTGGGTGTTCACATACCTGGGCGAGCACCCGGACTGCTGCGCATGGAACTCGTCACTTGTGTTTTCACTATCAGATACTTTCTCATAAACATACACAACGAGACTTGATTGGGATTTATACGAACAGAAAAGAACAGGGCACCACCAGTAACAGCCACGATGAGGGTGACTACGAATCTAACCGACAATTAGGAATCCACTTCCCATTAGCTGTTCTCCCAAGCTCATCTTAATGATTGTGGGTTGCGTAACAGGCTCATGTAGGAAGCAGTCCCTCACTTTTGCTTTCAGTTTGCTGGCTGTTTCTAGTTAAGATGAACGACTACTGGACGCCTCAGGGTGCAACTGGAAAAGCGAAATCGTCGCCACCGGAGGCCTTGTCGCCACCGGAGGCTTGTGCTTGTGCAGCGCCCCCTTTGGCTGCTGACCTTACGAACCGTCTTGGTCAGGTTTGGGCCCTTTGCTTCACCATACAGCGTGGAAAGTGGACATGGGGCTAGGGGCGGGCAATGAGAATGGAACTCAAGTTCCAGCACTGCCACAGGCCCCCAACGGAGTGACTAATTACTTAGCTTCTGTGCAGTTTTCGCATTTGTAGAATACTGTGCCCCTCCTGGCTGGGTTCCTGGGAGGGTCGCCATCGAAACTACTTTGCACTCATTTTTACAGAGTGTGCGCAGGAATTGGAGCTCATCTCCTGCTCCTCTGGGTCCTCACCTGTGGGTCGGTGCCGAGGTGGTGGCTAGGACTCATCTACAGGACCAGGGTTGGGGTGCATAGCACAAGGGCTTCCCCCTGACCTGCAGGAGACGCAGAGGACACCCACACGGGCAGCATGGGCGGTGCCGCAGGCAGACCCGCCTCACTCAGGATGACTTCCTCCTCTCCTCACACACCCCCAGCCTCTCAGAGTGGGAGTGCCGCGGTGGGTTCCCAGCGGGGTTCCCAGCCTTCTGCGTCCCCCTCTAGCCAGTATCTAGAGTTGCTCACCCAACTGTAGGCTTCTAACACATGGGTTGTGTGTGTTGGGGGACATATGTGGGGTAGAGTATGACAGCAAATACTGATTCAGTGTTTGCTGTGTGCCCCTGCAACACTCATAGTCACTCACAAAATGCACATGATCCACCCGCTGCTCACCTCAGCAGTGTATTTCAGTAGATGTACCTGTTCTGCTCCTCACTCTGTCTCTGGTGAATCCTCATCACCCCTGCACCCCTGGCCTGTACCCCAGTTCTGTATGCATAAACATTTTTTTAAAAAAGAGCTTAAAGGCCCTCCCTGGTGGCGCAGCGGGTTAAAGCACTGCACTGAGAAACTAAAGCCACTTCCGCATGAGTTCGATTCCCGCCTGCCCTGGAGGTGACCACATGGCGCGGCAGACCTCTCCTGACTCGCCCGCTGCTCCCCTCAGCAGTGTACTTCATCGATCTGCCTGTTCTGCTTCCCACTCTGTCTGTTCTGCTTCCCGCTCTGTCTCTGGTGAATCCTCTCACCCTCCGCATCTCTGGCCTGCACCCCAGTTCTGTATGAATAAATAAATAAATCTTTAAAAAAAAAAGAGCTTAAAAATACTCTCTACAGTATGCTTATTTTTCTTTTTAAGATTTATTTAAGCATATAAGAATTGGGGTATAGGCCAGAGGTGGGGGGCCAGTGAGAAGATTCACAGAGACAGAGTGGAGAGCAGAACAGGCGGATCTATTGAAATACACTGCTGAGGGGCGCAATGGGTGGGACATGTGGGTCACGTGACCTCCTTGCCTGGGGATCAAATTCTTGCTGCAGTGGCTGGCGATAACTTGATATACTGACATCTGCACCACCAGAAGGCCCGGTATGCCTATTTTTCTAAGCCAAATTCAGTTTTACAAATGAGGAAACCCTTTAAGAGATAAATTTGTGTGCCTGACCTGTGCGCATCTGAAGTCCGGGTTTGCTGTACTTGGTGGTCGGCTCCTCTGCCCGGGAGACTTGTGTCTGGAGGTAGATTGTGGAGCCAGGTTTTCTCACTGAAGATTCTCCTTTGCCCAGTGCCACACACTTGATGTGTCCATGGCAGAAAGAACAGAACTTTGGGTGCTGCTGTGAGTTCAGGAGGGCAGAGGGCCTGCAGTTGGCTTTGAGGGCCCACCCTCGATGTAGTCCTAGAGGGTTGAAACCTTGCCGGTTTCCAGGTGGTGGTCATTGGGCCGGCCAGCCTGGGGCCCTGCTGGTGGCTTGTGCTGACTAGTTACTGTGGCAATCTCCTGCTTCTCTCGGAGATGCTAGAGGGTTCACGTTGGGACAGGCGTGCTGTTAGTGCCTTTCTGGCCCCAGCTCTCTTAGAGGTGTATCATTAGATATTTACAGTCGCTCTCTGAGGGAGGGAGCAAGTGGCTGTTATCCCCACTAACTCTTCTATGTATTCAGCATTTTTTTTACATTCTAATTGTTTCTTACATCTTTGTTCATTTTGGTGCAGTAGTTGGTTCCCGCTAACTTCTAAATGCACAGCAGGCTTAGAAAGGTTATTCTCCAAGACTTTGCTACCAGAAATTGACAAATACCAGAAGCAGTCAAGTCTCTCTTGATTGTAAGTCTGTGACCTAATGTTTGTTGCCTCTGCGTAAATCCGACAATCTGGGTCTCCCTCTCTGGCGCACAGCTCCTAAGTGCCGTTAGGGGGCGATAGAAGTCTTTACTGCGGCTGCTCTCAGAGCTTTTGCTCCTGGACCCTGTGAACTTAGAGGGCTTACATCATGTTCTCTCTCTTGATAATAAGCATCTTCTGTGTGTCTATCTCTTTGTGCTCCTCCACTCCTTCCAGCCAGAATCCTTTCAGATTGGGACTTTTATTTACTCTTAACAGTTAACAAATTGAAGCTCAGAATAGGAGTTCAGTAAATGATTGTTGAATTGAATTATATGCAAATTAAATGTGCCCCTTCTGGTCTTTGCAGAGCTTGGGAGAACAGAACAAGCTTTCCCTTGTCCATTCAAGTGAATGACAACTGAGGACCTGTGCAGTGACCTCAGATGGCCACGAGGTGGCAGGGTAGCCACAAGGGACCTGCCTTCCGCCTGCTCCCATGTCGTAATTGGCTGGGCGCCTCCTACTTGGGACTGAGAAATCAGTTTGCAGTTGGCTGTGTGCAAATGCTAAGTCTCAGCCTCCATCCCTCCTCTCAAAGCTGCAGTGGGAGGGCATGTTCTTCACCAGGCCTGGGTTCTACCCTGGAACACCTTTCCCCAGGAACTGAGCTTAAACATACCACTTCTCTGAGCCTTCTGTCATCCTGTAAAGATGTAATTGTACAGTTAGAAGAGCCCCAGTGTATCAGACATAGCATAAATGGATGTGCTTTTATTTTTGATACTCCTGCTTTGTATTTATCTTTCATGCCTTCTGCAAACTGGTCTATGGGCCAAATAGTCATACCACGATGAGGGCACCTTCTAGCTGGTGTCCTAGCCCTGCCTGCTGCTCGGCCGTCCACTCCAGCTCTGCTCCTCAGTCAGCCCGTGCCCGGACTCCCACACTGCCCTGGCCGGCGCCTCTGTTCGCCTGTGTACTGCCTTCTCAGCCCCCCATTCTCCCTCACATGCAGCCCTGACTCTCCAAAGCACTTGGAGCATGAACTGTAAAGGATATATCTTATTTTCTTAAGCATATTTTTATTGCCACCACAACACGTTGTATATGCTGAGGACTAGTCTGGATTCCCACAGCGGGTGCATCCGTGAGGCACTTGTCCGGCCGGCCGGCCCTGTGCTGTGCACCTAAGATGCTCACTCAGTCGCAGGACTGCTGGCTGCTGCCCACACATGCCAGCCTCTCTGCCAGGTGCTTCGCAAGATTATTTCATGTAATCTTTAGAACACATTTATCCCCACTTTATAAAAGGATATATTTATCTGGCTGCTTTTGGCCCTTAAAAAATGACTAAAAGCAAGTTAAACGAAAGGAAATTTTATTTCCTTACCAAAAAGACATCTTGCTGGTTGCTTGCTCCCCCCCTTGCTTGCCTCGCTCAGGGCACTGCTTTATCCTCTTAGGCTGGTCCCCCATCCCTTCAAGGACCCAGGGTGATTGGTACAGTGCTAGGTGCTGGCAGAGGTAAGGTTCTCTTCAGGAAGCAGAATTCTTGGCCACGTTGTGTCTTGGTCATGTTGTGTCTTAGAGTCTGGAATAAATGAGACTGGATGGGCTAGTTTGATTCAGCCCATGAGGCTGGTGAGGGACCCACCCCTCTTTAGCCCCCTGGGCAGCTGGTCCTCGGAGGAAGAGGGGACAGGAGCAAAGGTGGGCTTGGGAACTTGTCATGTTTGCAAACTATATTAGTTGAATGAAAGAAACTGCAGAGGGGGAAGGAACATTGCTGTGGACTTGGTCTGCTAGTTTTGGGGTTCTCAGAGATGCTTTAGACTACTGATTTTGGAGTTTCTCTTTTCGCTCAGCCCCTTTCCATTGCTGTGTTCATTTTCCTTAGTCTGCTTTCCCACCTCATGTTTCTTTTACCCCGTCTTCGGATGCCATCTGCGGCCTGCCTTCTAGAATAGACTTCATACCCTTAGCTGGGTAAGGGCCCAGCTCAAAAGTATGGTCCACGTACTGATCTCAGTGTAGCTGTCAAGACCCCAAGGGAGCCACATGGCGGTTTCCCCCACAGCACAAAAGGGAGCTGTTTGCCCTGTGCCAGGAGTTAGGGGAGGGGCTCCCGGGCCATGGCGGGGACTGCCAGAGGCCAGCACAAGAGGGGCATTGACGTCGATCTGTGGGTGGCCTGTGGGGCAGTGCAGGCCGCAGATGTCAGGAAGCCCTGTTTGCAGATGCTGCAGGACTGCCCCAAAGCGCGGCGCGAGGTGGAGCTGCACTGGCGGGCCTCACAGTGCCCGCACATCGTGCGCATCGTGGATGTCTACGAGAACCTGTACGCCGGCAGGAAGTGCTTGCTGATCGTCATGGAGTGGTAAGCAGCCCGCCCTGTGCCCTGCTCCAGCCTCTCACCCTGAAGCCGAAAATGAAAAGCTTGATTCTCTTGGGGGCAATGGAGAGTGGTGGTGGGTGCTGTTCCCACACCTCCCTGTGGCTTGTTTCAGTTTGGATGGTGGAGAGCTCTTCAGCCGAATCCAGGACCGAGGAGACCAAGCATTCACAGAAAGAGGTAGAAAGGGTCTGTAGCGGGGCCAGGCAGAGGGCAGGTGGGCGGCAGGGTGACTGAACGGGCCTTGACTCATGAGAGAGGCTGAGGCTCGACCGCCTCCCGCTTGTCGCCGGGGCTGCCGTCCTTGGTGCCTGCTTGCTGCTTGGCTTTTGGGGGTGGTGGATAGAGCTGTGTGAGGTGGTGGGTAGGTGGGCTTTTTCAGACCTGATGCTACACCTTTGACTTTCTTTCCTTCTCCCATTCCCTCCCTTCACAGAAGCGTCAGAAATCATGAAGAGCATAGGCGAGGCTATCCAGTACTTGCACTCCATCAACATTGCTCATCGGGATGTCAAGGTACCAGCCGTTCACCACCCCAGCTGAGGCGCCTCTGTGCCTGTGGCAGGCGGGTGCAGTGACCTGGCAGGATGCATGGTTCCTAGGCGCAGTGGGGGCAGGGTGCAGCTTGTTGCCCCACAGGGCCTGCCTTGAATGACACCCCCAGACACAGTAGTAAAGACCCCCGTGGCCCCTCCGCCTTGTATGTCTCCCCAGTCAGCACCTCAGCACCACAGCCGTGTTTTCTCCATCCTGGGCATGGTGGTTGCTCCTGGTCTGTACAGCTGGTGTCTGTCTGGGGTGCACACCACCTGGTTTTGCATGAAGGCAGGAAGGGGGTCACTACCCCTCAGACTTGCATGGCCCCGCCAGCTTTCATAGGGTTACTTGTGGGTTTTTTAAATTAAGATACGTTGGTTTACAGCACTGCCTGCTTTAGGGGAACAGCTCGCACCTTCTCAAGTGTCTGTCACTGCACCACACTGACCACCAAAGCATCCCAGTCCTTTACCTGAGGCCACTGGCCCTTCCCCGGTGTGTACCTCCCCCGCTTTTCCTCCCTCCAGTAGCCTCAATTCTGCAGCTCCAATTCTCTTTGTAGCCCGAGAATCTCTTATACACGTCCAAAAGACCCAACGCCATCTTGAAACTCACCGATTTTGGCTTTGCCAAGGAAACCACCAGCCACAACTCTTTGACCACTCCTTGCTATACACCGTACTACGTGGGTAAGCCCAGGGGAGAGCGGAGCTGCCACCCCGCTGCTTTACTCAGACCCTCCTCTGTGGGTCTGGGGAGCCCTGGTTCCCAGGGAGGTGTGGCCTCTGGCCTTTCGGGCCCGTCTGTGACCTGGCCCCAAGGTGTGCTGCTCAGAGTCCGTGGGGTTGAGCACTAAGGAGAGCGAACCGCCCAGGGTCCAGCCAGATCTCGAGCCCACGTGTGCTGAGAAGAGCCGTTCCCAGGGAGGCCGGGACCCGGATGTGGTTCTGGGGCTTCCGCTGGCTGGCACAGGATGCATTCCCCAGACTTGTTTGTTGACTTGTACGGACAGCACGGCTCAGGAAAAGGTCCCCGCAGTTCAGGGGCTATTTCATTTTATGATTCTAGCCCTACCACTTCTTGGAGCAGGGTCTTCTGCTCTCCTCTGCCCCCAGGGCTGCTCCCTCTCCCCCAGCTGCACTCGCGTCGCGATGGGGCACAGGGACCGGCACCCATGCTGTCGATCTTTGGTTTGCAGCTCCAGAAGTGCTGGGCCCAGAGAAGTATGACAAGTCCTGTGACATGTGGTCCTTGGGTGTCATCATGTATATTCTGTGAGTGTGTGTGTAGGAGTGGGGGTGCAGGGGGGCTGGGCCTGGGTGAGTGGAGGCCCATGCCTCTAGGATGAGGCGAAGAGGCAGAGGTCAGCGTTCCCCTTCTGGGTGGGGTATTCTCTGGGAATCCCCTGCATGTTCCCTTCTCAGTACTCAGCAGATTCTGATGGCTAAATGGAGGCTCTAAGCTAGTGGGCAGGAAAATGTGTGGTTTAGACACTCGATGTGCCGTGTTCCTGCCCTTGACTTTGTGTAGTGTGCCTGAAATCAGTGAGCCCCGATTTCTCTGTGACCTTTACAAGAAGAAGTGTATTTCTCCTGCTATTCCTGGGGCAGGGCCCCTACATAACACCAACTTTCTCCCTCTTTTCCTGCTTCCTCTTAACTCAGGCTGTGTGGATATCCCCCCTTCTATTCCAATCATGGCCTTGCCATCTCTCCGGGCATGAAGAGTCGCATCCGAATGGGCCAGTATGAATTCCCCAACCCCGAGTGGTCAGAAGTGTCAGAAGAAGGTAAGAGCCCATGTGTACATGGGTGTGCATGCAGGGTGTGTGGGTGGCCTCGTGGCTAGCATGGCTGAGGGGTGTCCTCCCTGGGTGACTGGAGCTTCCAGGTGTGGGGCCATGTGGGTGCATCAGTTAGGACAGCCTCACGGCCTCAGTCTGGCTCCTTGGCAGCCTGCCTCCGGGGTCCTTCCTTCGAGTCTGGCTTCTTTCTGAAAGACTACTCCTGGGAGGAGCAGGAGGGAGAGTGGCCTCTGAGACCTCTCTGTCCCCCGCCCCGTCCCCACAGTGAAGATGCTCATCCGGAACCTGCTGAAAACAGAGCCCACTCAAAGAATGACCATTACAGAGTTCATGAACCACCCCTGGATCATGGTAAGCCTGGCAGGCTGGTGAGGCCTGGTTGTGGGACTGGCCTTCGTGATGAGGCTTAGCGAGGGCACCGTCCAGGCTTCTGCTTAGACCTTTTCTCTCCCCACAGCAATCAATGAAGGTCCCTCAAACCCCGCTGCACACCAGCCGGGTCCTGAAGGAGGACAAAGAGCGGTGGGAGGATGTCAAGGTGAGGGCCCAGGGCCAGGTGAGAGTGGCTGGGAGAGTTGGTTTGAGAGAGTCTGATACACCAAGAGCAGCTGCCTCTGAGCAGCTCGTGGCCAGAGGCATCTACCCGCAGCGGTGGCTGTTCTTGCCAGCCCCACTCCCTGGGCCTCCGAGGTTCCGACGGCTGTGCTGCCATCATCTCATTTTGCAGATGAGCAGACTGAGGCCGAGAGCAGTGACTTGTTCAGGGTCATCAGTCCCAGTCTGGCTGGGGCAGACTGGGCCCAGGTCTCCTGACTCCTCGTCGGTGCTTCCTTCCACCTCGTGGGGCTGGGCTGGGCGGGGCTCTCGGAGGAGCAGCGCCAACTTGGTGGCTGGGCCGATCGATGCTCCCAGGGCCGAATCTGCCATCAGCTGGGCCCTCCCACACTTGTCCCTTCTCTCCGCTCCTACCCTGTCATGCCTGTCCTGTCTTGACTTGTGTCCTTGTCCCTCACGCCTCTCTCGGTGCCACCCTGGCCCCTCCAGGAGGAGATGACCAGTGCCTTGGCCACAATGCGTGTCGATTACGAGCAGATCAAGATAAAAAAGATCGAAGACGCATCCAACCCTCTGCTTCTGAAGAGGCGGAAGAAAGCTCGGGCCCTGGAGTCTGCGGCCCTCGCCCACTGAGCCTGGCCCGCTGGAGGACAAGCAATAACTCAACCTGAATCTGTCTTCTATATGAAGAGACAGAACTGTCTGCTCCTACCTCCCCTCGACTGCATGGAGCCTGGAACCTCATCAGAGACTGGATTCTGTCTGGTTCTGGCTGCCCCAGGGAGGGAGAAGCTGGGAGGCTGGGAGGGCCTGGAGAAGAGGGCGTACTGCTCTCTGGAGTCTCTGCTCATTTTGCCATTTTGTCAGTAATTTGACTTAGAATTTTTATGAAACTTACTGTTCTTTTCTCTCATGCCTCTCCCTTCCTTTTTTGGGTACTGCAGAGGGCTTGTTAAAGGGTGTTTGTGGGGACTGGCACAGGGAGTGTCCCTGTGTTGTCCAGTCTGCCTTCCCTGCTTCCCACGATAGCCCAGGGTCTGCGGACGGAGGTTTGGGGAGGTCAAGGCCACACCTCCTCACTAGAACCTCGGGCTCACTGGTGTGCTGGGTGGATGGGATGAGTGAGTGTGTGTGTGCCTGTGTGACTGTCCGTGTACTGGGTCTGGGCGAACAGGCTACAGGAGGAGGGCCTGCTGTCGTTCCAAGAAGCTTTTCTTCCTTGGGTCTGCCGGGTTGGACCTAGCAAGGAACCTTGGAAGCCTTTCCGGAATCTGAGACGGGTCTGTCCACGCTGGCCTGTGCTAGCAGGTCCCAGTGGGCACGGGGGTGATTGGCACTGGCGCAGTCGCGTGGACCAGACTCCACCCCAGGATCCCTTCCCATTTCGTGCCGGTCCGCTGTCCCTTCTCTGGAATCCGCCGCTACTTCCCCTTCCTGCTGCTCTTAACCCACTTTTGTTTATTTTCTTAGTTTTAGCACTTCCCCATGGGCCACAGCTACATGGGTGGCCTGGCCAAGTTTATGATGACACAGGCTTTTGTATTTCCGGGGTCTCCCTTAGTTTGTGGGCTAACGTGGCAGCACCACGTTAGGACAGACCCTCTGGCAGTTTTCCACTGTGTGGCCTGGCAGGTGGGTGGTGGGGGAGTCTGCACCAAAGACGTCTTGACTCTGGCCCTTCCCTCTTAGCTACTTCAACCCTCAGCCCAAGCAACTCACTTTCTTGCGTCAAAGCCAGTGAAGAGCCTGTGGGAGGCCCTTTGCCTGGTGAATAGGGGGTCTCCCGTGTCCTGGTCTCTTGGGTTGGGGGAGGCAATAATACTTCAGCTTTCATTTCCCTCAGGCAAGGTGGTGGAGGGCACCCAGAACCTTCTGTGGGTTGGGGAGGACTCTGAGTGCCTGCAGCACCTCCTGTTCTCTCAGATTGTTGTAAACTGTTACTGTTTTGTATGAACGAAGTTGTCTTTATTAAACAGATTTAATAGTTGAAAGGGGTTTTTTCTTCATGTGACTCAGCCTCCCAGCCCCCCTCTCTTCTTCCCACAGGTGGAGAGTGGTTTTGTATGCTGGGAGGGCAGAGTCCAGCTCCCTGGGAGAGGAAAGGGAAGCCTCCTGGCTGAGGGACCAGTGCCAGGCCTGCCAGCCACAACTTGTGTGGGGATACGAATGCTTTTGCCCACACAGAGGAGAGCAGGAGTGCCGCAGGGCAGCCTGTTGTGCCTGTATTGAATCAGAGCCAGGCTGCTTGTTAGAAGTTGATTCTTTGACTCCTAGAGAGGCGCTGATTCTCTCAAGGCTGTTGAGTGGGGTGGGGGGTGGGGGTCACCACGAAGGAGGTGGTGATTATTTGGTTCAATTCCTGGGGAAGATCCTCAAGAAAGTTGATGTAGTTCCCGAAAGTTCCAGGAGGGGGCAGTAGGGTGTCAGGCAGAGACTAAAATGTTCTAGGCCAAAAGCTGGAATAGGACTGAGGATTTATGTGACTCTTCCCCTCAATTCACAGGCAAAAAGACTGAGGTCCAGAGGTGGGATATTGAGCTGGCAAAATGGATTGGCTTGTGAAAGAGTCCAAGATAAAAATTGGTCTGTAGATTCTACTGGTCTTCCCCACAGTCAGACGGGAAATATAGGGTGTCTTAGATAACTTCACCTCCATTTTCTCATGTGACTGCAGAGGTCTTCAGGGAGGCGAGCAGAATGTTCAAGCCCATTTTACAAGCAAGGAAACTGATGCAGAGGAGGAAGTAACATCAGTTTGCACAACCAACATTCAGACTAGAATGTGGGACCCCACGGCCTAGGGTGGCCTCTGGCCTCGGACCCAGCCTCCTGCTCAGAGGAGAGGCCTGCTTGTCCCCTCGATCACCTGCAGGATCACCATGTGGCCCAGGGGCACAGGCCCCAGGATCTCTCCACCATCACGGCTGGGTGGGTTCCTGAGGTTGGCCCCCAGCTTGAAACAGCACTCATCACACTCAGAGCCACTGCCCACATGAAACTGCATGAGGTTTTGCTTTCAAGGAAGTCCAGTTATTCTCCCCACTGACCAAGGCACAAGAAGTGACAGGACCCTAGGGGGAAGTGGGAACAAGGGGCGCAAGGAAGGGGTTGGGTGCAAGGGAGGCGGGAGCGAACAGTGTCAGCTGCCTGCAGAAGCCATGCTGATTTCTACTGCTGCCATCATACAATTCATGGCATGGAGCTCACATCCCCAGTTCTGGAGGTCAGATGTCACGTAGGCCCTTCAGGCTAAAATGAAGATCTCAGCAGAACAATGTGCCTTTTTTGAGGCTGTAGGAGGTTCTGTTGTCTCCCCTTTTCCAACATTTAGAGGCCCCCAGCGTTGTCTTGTGGTCTCTCTATAGCTGCAAAACTGCTTCATTGCCCCTCTCTGACCTGAGCTGGGAAGGACTCTTGACTTTTCAAGACCCAGGCGACTAGCTTGACCCTGGCCAGTTAACCCAGGTTAGTCTCCTCACCACAGCGTCCCTGAGGTCAGTTCCATCAGCTCAGTTCCTTCAACCATAGAAGGTAGTCTCAGGGTCAGAGGTTAGGATGTGGGCATCTTCGGGGTCACCACTCTGCACAGAGACATGTCTTACTACTATATCCTCTTGCCTCACACTTTGACATCTGATTCCTTCCCTCTTGTGTCTGGATCTGGCCAGTCAGGAGCCAGCCTGGTGCTCAGGGAAGTTGGCTGTGATGAAAGGCCAGGAGTGACTTGAGTGGTAAGTGGGGTCTTGCGGTGCCATTCAACCTTCCTCCCCACTTCCCTCTGCCCCTGATCCTCTATACTGACATGGCCCTGTGACTCCATCTCCAGGGGAGACATTACCTACTTTTGCTAAACGGATTGGTGATGAACGTTGGTGCCTGAAGACAGAGCTGACCAGCAGTGGATGTTACTCTTGACTGCTCTCTGGTGTGAGATGTGAGGAGGCCTTGGGTTTGGGGCACTGATACTATGCTGGGTTATTCGTTTCTTCAGGCCATGGAAACCCTCTGAGATAGTCAGTTTCCAATTACCTGTGAGGAAACTCAGCTCCAGAGAAAGAAAGTGAGTCTCCCAGCCCTCCCACATAACGGAAATGGGGCTCCTGCTTGAGTTCAGAGCTTCCGTGCTCTTGAAAAGGGGGGAGGGCTGAACAGGGAGGCAGACTGGGTTTCTCTCCAGTGAGGGTCTCCCTTTTCTGTACCCTGTGGCTGTTGTTAAGATTCCAATGAGAGAATAGATTTCAGTGCTACTCAGGGGAGCCCTGCTTTCCAGTTGGCCCCATGCTGATGGGGTAGGGGGAGCCACATTTTGGCCGTCAGCGTCAGCCGATCGGCAGTGCCTTGGGGTGAAGAGTCAGTTGGGCTGGTAAACAATAGCAGTAAGTTTGGGGTTTTCCTCTGACAGAGCCGGGATGGGAAACGCGGAGGCCTGTGATGTCGAATGGCAGGGCTGTTAGGTCAGGCATGCCCACGTGTGAAGTTCAGTTACTCAGGGAGGTGGGCAGGGCAACAGGGCTGCCGGGCTGGGGAGAGTGCTGTCCCTCCCAGTGAACAATGAAAACAAACCTGCCAGGCACCCCCAGCAGGTGGCCAGGGTGGGGAAAAGGCCTTGGGCTGGGGGGGGCTCTGTATCTTCAACCCTTGGGAACACTGCTCCACCCTGGCCCTTTCCATAACAACTATTATTTGGAAGGGACACTACTTTCTAGCTCTGGACACCTCCTGGTGATTTCATCTACCTCACCCCTCCCTGCAACTCAAATCAGACAAGGGTAAAGAAACCACCCAACATGACATGCTAAATCTTGAAATACCTGGGCATTTACGAAATATTCTATACTTTGGGAAAAGCTAAGTGTCAGATCTAGTTCCTGCCCTCAGCTAGTCAGTGAGGTAGATTATATACCAGCAACTTGCAAAGAGCCTCATTTTTCCTTTCTCTTCATCCACAGGCCTGGCTACATCGAATTGTCTAGAAACTGCCCCAGACAGCAAGGGGTTTGTCACTAAGCTCAGGGATACTGGGCAGCCCTGTAAGGCCCTAGAGGTGTGAGTAAGCCTGGAGTGGTGAGTGAGGTCCAAGAATGTGGCCTAGTTTCCCTTGTTCTCTGTATGCAGCCCTCACATCTGTGCCTCTCAGGGTGACACTGGCCCTATGCCTGGGTGTATGGGATGAAGCGTGGTGCCAGGATTGGGGGGTAGGGGGGTGGAACGACTCTCTGGGTGGACAAAGACCCAGCTCCTCCCTCAACTTGTGGGCCTCTTGTGAGCAGGGCCTGCACTTTGACCTCCTCACCAGAGCCTCTCTCTGAAAAGAATTTGAGCCACTTCCCCAGAGTAAAGGGCACCTCTGGTTCAGCTGACCTCAGGGCCTGGTATGTGCAGTGAGCAGGGCTCAGGACTGTGGGAGGTGGCGAGTGAGAGAGTGGTGGCTCAATCTGCGGGGGTAGCCGGCCTCATGAGAGCTGTGCTGTCCCGAGGAGGGCAGTTTTGATGGTTGACATGAGGAAATGCACAGCAGAGATTTTCCTATCTGGTTTCTGTTCTGGTCCCTGAAGGAGCAGGACCCTTCCTTCTCAGAGTCCAGGCTCACCCCTTTCCTTTGTCACAATGGCTGCCCATCTCCTCAGCTTGACCCTTGACCCTCAGGGATTCTGCTCAGGGGAAAGGTGACTTGTCCGCGTGAGTGTGGTGTCCTTGGTGTTTTCACTTTTTGTCCTCTTTTCAACCTTTCCAACCTGGATTCCCCTTGTTTACCATGTCTGCTTCCCCCAAACCAAAATTTGGGAAAGTGGTGTGCTAGGGATTTCCCCACGCTTTCTGTCCATTAGTATTTAAGGAAGCCTTAAAGCTATTCCTTAACCTTAGATCCTATTCAGTTGTATCCTTTAAAGGCCATTAAAAAAAAGGA